CGACGACAAGTCGAAGCGAAGCGGCCAACCGCACCGGTAGACACTCCGGGAATCCTGCTGGAAAATGTGCTTATGGACCTATGGAGAGTTTGCTTAGTCCTTCTGTAGTCTGGTATGTGGCATTTATTGGGAGGCAGGCGGCACCTAACCACACAAGTGGCTAACAATATTGCCACAGTGCTGCTGACACGGGTCCAAAAGCAAATGCAAAATCCTGCAGGGGACCACCCATACTCTGGCAATGTTGTCCGGCAGTTACTCACAAAAGATTGACAAGGAAACGTCCGAGCTTTTCCTGACACAGCACACTAGCAGTTTGGGCTGGATCTGGGGTTCTTTGGCAATGCAAGTGGGCAAATCCGCTGAGCAAGTTGCAAGGTTCGAAGCCAGAAGACCAGATCATGGATTGGTCCAGCGTACATGGTGCCTCAAGTGAAGACCGCCAAGGGGTGCTTTTGATTTTGGCAATTTGGCTGTGGTCCTCGTTGCTTTTCGTCCCCATAAACCATTTCCTGCCTTTGATCTCATTGTGGCTTGTCATGAAGTGCACCCTGCCACCTTGAACTACACCTCAGTTGAGGAATCGCTGGGGCCGCTACGGTGCAGTGCCGCCGCCCCACGAGGTGCTCGCGCATCCGCAACCTTGGATCGATCCGAAAGGCAAATACAGCCACACGACTTGCTGGTGCTCAGCGGGGAATGAGAATCGGAATGACCCCTTTAAACCATCCCCTATGGTTTCCTTCAAGGGAATCCCCAGGTTCATTCCCTCATTCCCTACTGAGCACCAGCAAGACGAACAGCACAAAACAAACGTTCACACACACACACACACACACACCAAAATGCTCAAGAGACGCGCTCATGCACACAAAGAGCTACCGCATTTAGAGTGAAAGAATTGTGTTTATGATGATTGTACCCGGTAAAAGTCCATCAACTTGCGCCCGCGTGATTTAATATAACTCAAGCGGATCCGTCATGTCCAGGTTACATCAAGCTCTGTCAGCTTTGTTCTCTGACATCCGTTGTGATCCAAGCTCCTCTGGCAGGCGGCTCAATTCCTAGTTGCTGAATTCTGCCCATCCGTATGAAAATCGTTCCATCCAGGCTTCCTACATACCTCTCCCACCCCTTCCACCCATGAGGAAAGAAACACATACAGCCTTCTGCGTTGGGAAACTCGCACGCAAGCAAAGCAAACATTTGGCGCGCCCATCAGAGAAACCGGCCAGCAGAAACTCTAGGAAACACAACCGAAACCCTGTGTTTCAAAACACAAGGCAGCCAAACATGCAAGCTGGATCCACTAAAGCGACATACCCGAAATCGCTTGATAAAAGACACCAACCTCAGTTGAAAACAAAAAAACATGGATATCATGTCAAGCAAGCCTTACCAAAAGGGAACCTAAAACGGTGGGGAGCTCCCACCGAGCTTCGGGGCCCAAAGCCCGGGGCCCCTTGGGCCCGGGCGGCGTAGAGAAGGCGGCGCCGCACACGCGGCAGCGGCGCAGGCCCTCCCGGAGCGGGGCGCTGCGCGCCTCGGGGCCCGGGCTCGGAACCGGGGCGTCGTGGAATCAAAACCGGAAAATCTACCATGCCCCCCCCCGGGAGAAAAACAAAAAACGGGGCATGGAGAAACCGCAAAAAAAAAGAAACGCGCCATGGTTTGGTGACAAGAACATCTACAGGACGCCCAAAAACACCCGAAAGGGCAGCTGTGTTCGTGTAGAATGTCCTGCAACCCAACCCTCTGATTGAAGGACTGGTGTTTGGTGTTGGAACCTGCTGATTCATACAACCAAATACTAACCCGAAGAATTACTGGAAGCTTGTAAAGGGGTACGCTTCCGGGTTGTCTCAGAGATGCATTCTGATTCTGAGTGCTTTTGGATGGTCGGTCCATCGGAAGCGCAAAAAGAAGCCGATTCTAAGTGAAGACGAAAAGAAGCCGCAGGAGACAAACTACGAAGCGTGTCTACTCCTGAGAAGCGCCGACCCTGGACAAATTACTGGCCCAAGGCTGGTGGATCATTGCTGGAATGTTGAATCTGTGCTCCAGCCCCAGCACAGCTTGCTCTTTCTCCAAACAGTAGAGGCAACTTTCTAAATGCAAACAGCGGCAAATGATGGGTATTGGTTCCTGCAAAAAATGATATCCATGCCTCCCGGACCCACGCCCACAACCTTCACAAACACAACAATCAAGCAAACAGCCAGGCAGCCAGGCAGCCAGGCAAGCAACAAATTCCAGGATTGCCCCCGTCTCCAAAAACAAAGGCCGCTTTGACCCTGTCCTTTGGGACAAATAGCTGCCTTCCACTGGTAAATGACAAAGGCAACAAACCGAAACCAGTGGAATCCATCCCGTTTGAGCCAAAACGGAAAAACACCAAAAGCGCCACCCATGGCTCTGTCTCAAACTCAAGGACCAAACCCTTCCCTCAGAATGCGTGAAAAAGGCGGCCTACCCCCTGAAGCCACTGGATGCGGCCGACGCCAAAAGCTCCCCCCGACCGAACGATCCGACCGCGGGGCGCGGGGCTCCGCGCCGCCGCGCGCAAGGCCTCCACGGCTTCAGAGTGCTCCTCCGGCACCGGAGGCCTGGAGGAGCTGGGCGCGGCCCTTCCTTTTGGGTTTTGGGGAGGGGGAAGCGCCCGTCGCCCCCCTTGCTTTTGGTGGCCCAACAGAAAAGCTAAAAGGAAAACCAGCATTTTTTGGTGGCCCAACAGGAAAGCTAAAAGGAAAGCCAGCACTTTTTGGTGGCCCAACAGGAAAGCTAAAAGGAAAACCAGCATTTTTTGGTGTCCCACCAATTTTTGGGGGGTCCCCCCTAAGGCTGGTGGTTCGGGAGAGGGGCGATCTTTGGCTTTGTCCTTCTTTGTTCTTGTTTTTGTTGGTGGCCCGACAGGAAAGCCAAAAGGAAAGCCAGCATTTTTTGGTGGCCCAACAGGAACGCCAAAAGGAAAGCCAGCTGATGTTTCTTTTTGGGGGGGAGCTGGACCACCCGTCAGACTGGCGGTTCGGGAGAGCGGTGATCTTTGGCTTGTTCGTTCTTTGTCGTTGTTTTTGGTGCCCCAACAGGAAAGCCAAAAGCAAAGCCAGCATTTTTTGTGGCCCGACAAGAAAGCCAAAGGGAAAACCAGCAGGTTATTTTTTTGGGGGGGAGTTGGACCACCCGTCAGGCTGGTGGTTCGTGAGAGTGGTGATGTTTGGCTTTTTCGTTCTTTGTTTCTTTTTGGTGCCCCAAAAGGACCCAAAAGGACAACCAGCATCTTTTGGGGGGGGTGTCCCCTAAAAGAAGACACACCCATATGGCTTCCATGTGGGGGTTCCAGATGAAAAGGTTTCTAAGTGGTGTCTATGTGGGCGCCTGTTCCCGTTTAAGACCATCCACAAAACCACCCCGAGTTTACCTGCTGCTTGCTGGAAAGAACAACTTGCCGCAAGAGCGGAACCCATCGGGTGTATTGGGCAGACCGGCAGACCCTCTTCATGCAAGGGTGACCAAGAGGAATGCAGCCCCATTGAACGTAGGTCCGCAACTTGGGAGACGCCCATTTGCGAGGCTCCCCTTCTTAAGTTGTCCTACCCCACCAAACTCCCAAAGAGTGAGAAGCCGCGACCTCTCCAAATCTGCCATTGGGAGCAAATAAATTGACGCACCTAACGTTTCAGACTCCCGGCCCTGAACTGTCTGAGAATATCTCTGTCGTGTGGTGTGCATTGGCCATCAGCAGTCAGGTCTTCGAGTCGGGTCATTGGATGGGGTGACCGTTGACCTTTGGACTTTGGGGCACCCCCTGTAAGCTGCAAATTCCGCTTCACAGAACCGCCTATGTAGCATCCCATGCCAAGAGAAACGTACAAATGAACGTTTCCGAGGATCCCTCTGCTTGGGAAGGTGCCTTTACCAAACTGTTCCGCGAAATCTGCCAACTCAGCGGGCCAGAAACTGCATGCAGAGTGTAGCTGGCGCCACAAGTCGACCTGACCTCCACCTTTGGGCAATCGCCGCATTTTCCGGGGCGCCTTTCGCATAGGTGGCCTATTGAAAAAAATAGATGGCCCTGGTAAATGGAATAAACCCCAGCTAAACCAGGGCCCTCTATTTTTTAAGCAAACCAACCAAAAAGGACACCTATGGTCTTTCGCCCATTCCCGCTGGAACCAGGGAGGCGGCGGCAAGTAGAGCAGGCGCTGGAGAACTCGCACCATGGGGTCCAACCTCTCTGGATCCGCGCACGACCAAAAAACATGTCATGGTGCGTCTCACATGGATCTTAACCCCTAAAATGGTGGTGGTCCTTTTGGTTTCCCTTCAAAACCCTGCAACAAAGGGAACCCTCAAAAAAAGACGCACCCACGTACTGTGATGGTAGTTAGGACATGTAGCTTGCTCCGCAAGAACGCATATCAAATGTGTGCATGTCGTATATCGTTTGTGCAAATAGCCGATTCAATGTGAACAACATATGCATGACATCTATGGATACAACTTTTATCCCTGATATCACCAGCCTCGGCACCTGGGTGTGCATCGGAAAATTCCACATGCTATGCAATGCGAGTACATGCATCTGCGTATGCACATGGCCTAACGGCGTGAGGAACCAACTTAAGGGTCACAATCAGGCGGCCAACCCACATCCAACAAATCCGAGGGCAAAGGTGTCCCGGTCAATTGAAGTGAAGCAGCTCATTGGCCCCCATGATTTCCAGGCAGTTGCAGGCAACTCATCTGGCATCCTTTGACTGCAAAGGGCAGCAACCAATCCAAATTCCAGCAATGAGTCCCTGCCCCAAGGGCCCAAACGCAGTTCCTCGGGCGTCCTCTGGAACGATTCAGGGCTTCCCCCTCTTCGCCATTTGCCGGGCAAGACTTCTAACGCTGAGCACGGCAAGCAGGTTGGCCTGACTGGCAGTTCGCAGCTCGCCCCGTTTCGCCGCAGTCAAATCATGCACGGATGCATGGCTCGCTTGAGGCGTGGTCTTTGTCTCCACAATCCTTGTGCCGGCACTTTCTGCCGTTGGCAACTCTCCGAAAGCACGTTGGCCTTCGGAGTTACAGATCCTCTCTGACCTGTTCAGCTCTTGCCTCCGCCGCCTGCTTTCGCCGGAGGTACTCGTCGACTGGAATGGTCTCAGTGACGGTCCAACGGCCCGGGATCAAGCGCCCCTGGCACTTCAGCGGATCATTGGCTGCCGCGTGAGGGTGGCAAATCACACCCCGCTCCCAGTCCATCTCATGGTCCACGTTCTCCAGGTACCACTTCAGGTCCTTGCAACCCAGCTCGTCCCTCAACTCGTTGTAGTTGGAAATCACCTCAGTGTCAAGCATGCAAGCGTGTTTTTTTTTTTTTTTTTTTTTTTTTTTTTTCCGCCGTTGAGCGAACGAGGCATTCAACGACTTAGCGTGACATACATGAAGCGCGCTGCCAAACCATTTTGTTCAGGTGATGTCCCTGGTCTACCGTATGCCCTTCGGGCGCGGGGACAATGACTTCTGGCGCCTAAAAATCCCCCCCCCCCCCCTCCGTCGCGCGTTTGGAAGGTGTGGCCTTGTCCATGCCCGTGAGCTTCATGGGCCGCGCTTCCGGCTTCATCTTGTAGAAGTAGTCCAGGTGGTCCTCACCGGCACCGGCCCCAGCCCCTTTTGCTCACCCGAGAGAGCGCATGGAACAAATCTCACAGCGCAAGGCGCATCAAAAGGAAGATCTCCCAAATCTCCGCAGGGCGCCCAAGACACTCACGAAATCTCAGTTTCGTGCAGACATATCTGGGTCAAAAGCTGGGCCAGTCCAACCACTCCGAGTGACGCATTGCGAGGAGGCAGATCGTCTACGGTCTCGCCAATTGCGCGCCAACAGAATACATTCCACGAGAAAACCAGATTGGGCACTCAACACTTGGTTCAAAGCTATCTTTCAGAGTACTCAGAGCTCATGCTTTTCCAGTGTCTTTTCCTCGTCCCAAGAACTGTCCGCGGCATCGAAAGAAGCGACACAGCGACGCCGCGCATTCCGACTTCGTCCTTGGCCCAGAGCTCTGCCAGGCGCTTGTAGTTATGCACCACCGTGTTCACATCTACGTCATATGGCCTACGACATGCGGCTGTGGGTCAAAGATTGGTGACCAGTGAACATCCCAATCCAACCACTAAAATTCACCAAAATGGGTGGTGAATTCACCTACCCCAAAACGGCACCATTGGTGTTGACCCACAGCCATGTGGCTGGGTTAACATTGGTACCCAAATTGGAACCCTCGTAGATGGAAAAAAAGAACTAAAACCTGCGGTCCCCTGGTGGTTTCATTTTGACCCGTGCCCAGTTAGGTCCCCCAAACATGAAATGATCATTTTGTTCAAATTTATCACCCACTAAATACGAAAAGCTAGTTTACCCATGGTCATTTGGGACTAGGGATATTGATCAACCCCCACATGAAAAGCAAAACATGGCCGACAAACGCAGCGTGCATGCGCAAAAGCGTCCCAGAGCAAAGCAGGGTTGGAACGAGTTGACATGAAATGGCTAGGAATCCCGCAGATTTTGAGGTGCCAGAAGCCCGATTCCAAGTTCATTCAAGGTTCACTCAATCTTGGCTGACGTTGGAAAGGGAGCAAAAATTATGTGTTTAGCAGTTAAGTGGATTTGGATTTCAACCACTAAACCCACAAAAAGCAAAAATGCAAAATGTTTCCCAACAACAACCATGCAAGCAATGCCTGTTCACAGCTCCGCATCCACACCGCTCAACGAGGCGCTGCAGGTATACTCCACAGGAGCTGCAAAGCGGCACGCAGTTCTCACAAAGGAACTCTGTGTCGCACCGGCGGGGGCTTCAATCGTTTGGCCAGCCCACATTCCCTGGACGTGGCTCCAAGGAGCATCAAAAACAATTCTAGTGGAGTCATCCTACCATGGTCAAATCCCATGCCTCTCTCCCTAAACCCCCGATCGATCGGCCCTATCCGGCCCGATAAGGGGCCCCGATCGCTCGCCTGTGGCTGGGATCTCGGAAAAGGTGCCCTACCCGGCTGCAGGGCACGATCTCGATGCGGCCCCCGCAGCGCCACACCTGTACGCACCGCGCGAAGCCATGACCCTGGCTGGTGCTTAACTGGGCTGTGCGTTTTTAAGATCCCCCGCTCAAAGTTTGACTTCTGGGTTCAATGGCTTCACCCAAGCACTGAGCACTAAGAAGCTAACAAGCCAAAGAACCGGATGGCTGGGAGCCACCCAGTTGAAGGATCCCATGGCACCAGTGGTCGTTTCCAAGTTTGCACATCTGCCCAGGAAAGCAGAAAGAAGAACGCCAAAGTCCTTTCAGTCCGAGGCTCAGGTATGGCAGGTGTGGCAAAGCTCAGCCCGAACTGGAAATGAAATACTGGAAACCTCTCCCCCGCACCCCAGTTGTTCGATTTTTTTTCCGCTTATCAACCCAGCGAAATGCACGAACCAATTCCTTTCGCTATGGACGTCCCTCCCATCTGAGCGAGGGAATGCACATTGCCATGGGCCTTCATCGTCAGCTCCATATGATCGCCTGGCCAGATGTGCAACTGGTGACTGTGCGGGCCCAAGCGCACATTTTGACGTGGCTCCCAGGGTCACAAGGAGGCATCCTTGTATGTCCTTGCAAAAGTTGCAAGACTCAGCGAAAGGTTCAAATGCTCGAGGTTCTCTTCTAAATATGCTTCAAGGCCTCCCTTCCTCTACGTGCTTGATCCTTATTGGAGGGAATTTTCCTCTGACCCTCCCACCCCTCACAACTCCGCCTCCCCACTCCCGCATGCCCTCGTCGAAGAGCCCCAGCTGATTGAACCAGTCCTTCCGCATCGCAAAGATGCCTCCAGAGGTGCCTGACACGTGTGGAGAAAGCTGCGGCCTTCCTGTTGGGTCCCTTCACATCAAAGTGCCTTTTTGTGATGGTACACTTTGTGGGGTCCTTTTGATATTTTTCCTCACTGGCCACTGATCCAACAGGAACACCGAAGCCGGTTTTGGGGGTCTAACGGTTTAACCTTAGAAAAGACACATCACAACTTTCCCTTGATGACAGATTCCCCTTCACTTCAGCTCCCTTTTTTTCAGGCTCTCATTCCGTTGCTTTTCGATTCATCGGCTGCCCAACTGTGCCCTTGCTCGCTCCAAACCCAGAAGCTTCTGTAGGAGAAAGTGTCCCAATCCTGGTGCCCTGCATTTTCAATTTATTGTTGACCCAGGATTAATAAACCCGTCCCATTATTGGGGGTGTTCCCTCCAAAAATGATGAATCCCCACTAAAAGGGGACACCCCTCTATTAATCAACCAGGGGTTTATTCATCCGGGGTTCACATTCCCCCAATAAGGCTCTGGGGTATGGATGTCAAGTCCCGAGCCTGGGCTGGGATAGGGCTCCGGCACATCGTTCCTGATCAATTCACCAGGATTCCTCAGCACGTTGAGTCAACAGCGATCTCGTCGAGATGGCTGTGGGTCAAAACCAATGGTACCATTTTGGGGTAGGTGCACCAGTTTTAGTGGGGATTGGGATGTTCACTGGGGGTAAGAACTTTTGACCCATGGCCAGATCAAGTCAAGTCGTGGCTTCAGCGGAACAAATCATCGCAGAATAACTTCTCCCGCTTCTTGCAGCCTGACAGGCCAGTGGAACAATTGGCCGCAGCTTGTGTGCTGTGACCGGCAGGTCTGCCATGTTCTGAAAGCAAGGCAGGTCTGACATCTGAAACCAGACGTCTGCCGGCATCTCCCAGAAACGGAAAGAAAAGTTGCAACCGACTCAGCTCCTGTTGCGACCCAAGACTCGTGTAAACCAAGTTGAAGTTCCACTCGTACCGCCAGTGCCCCGGGGGCATTGGATAATAGATCTCCCAGTTCTCCTGTGGGATCTGGTCCAGCACCGGCATGGCCAGGATCTTTGGGTTCACGACCACCCGGTGAAGGATGTGCTGCAGCCAGTGCTTGTTCGGAATCACGTGCGCCTGCAGAAAATACTCAGGTGATATCCCCAACAGCATGCGGTGCTCTTTTTAGTGCTCGCACCACTCCGCAGCCCTCTCAGAACCTCGTGGAACCCTGGTGGAACCCCTGGTGGAACCCTGGTGGAACCCTGGTGGAACCCTGGTGGAACCCTGGTGGAACCCTGGTGGAACCCTGGTGGAACCCTGGTGGAACCCTGGTGGAACCCTGGTGGAACCCTGGTGGAACCCTGGTGGAACCCTCGTGGAACCTTACCTCAGGGCCGCCCCAGACAACCCCGGAGCCTATCTGGGCTGAGACCCCAAAGCTTTCAGCTGTTGGGGGGGGGGGGGGAAAAAAACGATGCGAGCAGGCTCAAGAGAAATTCGGACGCATGAATGCTGAAAGGAGCGGCGACCAAAGCAACTTGAAGGCAAGAAGCACGCTCGCTCAAATTCATCGCCGTGCTCGCTTGCTCTCGGGACACCATGTAGCCCAAAATGGGTTCCAGTCAGTCTCCAAAGAGCATAGGTGCTTTAGCTTCCAAAGTCTTGGTGGGGCAACCACGTCAAACAAAAAATCTGGCACCGCTTACACCAACGTAAATGAGAGGGGACAGAACATGTTGAGACAACAAAGGGACCAGCCAACCAAAAGCGGCAAGGCCAGAAAGCAAGCAAGCAAGCAAGCAAGCAAGCAAGCAAGCAAGCAAGCAAGCCAGCCAGCCAGCCAGCCAGCCAGCCAGCCAGCCAGCCAGCCACCCGGCCACCAAGCAAACAAGCAACCAGGCCACCAAGCAAGCGCATTGACCCACCCACGGTACTCTGAAGCAGTAGGTCCTCTCCCTTTGATCTCCACACCAAGCCCTCCCCCCCGCTCACGCCCCCCCCCCCAGGTCCGCCAGGTCTCCCTGCGCCTCAAGGAACACGATTACCGGAGCTGTGGCCATCTCCACCCCCCTGATCCTTGGCAAGTCAGCTTCCCCCAAGTCAGCGTGGCTTAGATTGGCTGTCCGGTTTGTGGGCTTTGAACATGTTGCCCGGGTTTTCTGGCATGCTCAAGCCGGTTCTTGATTTTTCACGCTATTTTTCCCACGGAGCCCTCTCTCTCTTGACTCAGGGGCTCCAAGTTCCCAAAATCCAATCCACAAATACCGCCAATCCAAGCCACCGACTGAGGGGGACCTGATCAAAGGGACCTCAAGAGTATCGTACTTCCCTCCCCACCCACCCCAAACCCGCCTTTAAAAAATGAAGCGCTTCTTTAGCTGGTGGATGTCTGAACATGTGCCCCAATATCACCCGGTTTGAGCATGCCAAAAAACCCAAGCAAAACGCTCAAACCCCACAAACCGGACAAAAACCGAGCTGGAAAAAACAAGAACTCCTCCAAACTGGCTCACTTCAGCACTCAAAACGGCTTCATTACCCGGCACCCCGTTTTTTCCGAAGCGCTTGGCCCGCATCAGCCCCTGGCGCTCGTCGAAGGCGAAGACCCTCACCTTGCTGGACAAGGCCTTCAGCTCCGCCTCCTCAGGCGGCCAGAAATTCCAGGGGAAAGTGACAAACAAGTACGGGAAATATTGTCATATGGCTGTGGGTCAAAAATAGGTACCCAAAATAGAACCCTGGTAAATGGAACCATGGACTAAAACCTGCGGTTCCCTAGTGGTTTAATTTTGACCCATACCCATATTGTCATGTATCATATTGTTGTAGTTGTCAGTCATTTATCAAATGGAAGTATTACATACCCCAAGTGGACATTCCCTGAAAAAAGGAAGTACCCCAAATTGAAGCACCCCAGATTGAAGTACCTTTTGGATATGAGGGGAAATATTGTCATATTGGTATATCATATTTGTCATGTATCACATTTGTCATATCCCAAAATTGAGAGAAAATGACACATACTTCTATTCATCAAATGGATTAAATGGAAGTACTACATACCCGAAATGGATTATATGTAGGAAATCTACATTTCCCCAAATTGAAGTACCCCCAAAATTTCCCCAGTTTTCCCCATATACATTTTCCCCTAACATTTTCCACAAGTATTACAAATGACAAATATTCTTAATCAAATGGAAGTATTGCATACCCCAAATGGACATGCCCTCAAAAAAGGAATGGGTTTTGGGGTATGTACCCGGCACAACCCAAGGAAAATAATACATATTCATTTTGCTGCTTCAAGGCAAATTGATGTTTCGGCTGCCCTTTTTGCCCCTTACACCGCAATGGGTGTGTGGTCCTTCGAATTAGAAACACCCAGCCACTGGCAAACATCGAGGAAAGGAGGGGCTTCTCAATATGAAAGGACAAAACTACGCTTCCCCCCAAAAGGACATGGGTGGGTGTTTTACAGTATTTGTTTTGCTGGCGGCCATTTTTTGGCTGGAACCCCCACCATTTGGGGGGTCCACATTTTGAGACAGCCTCATCTCCTTTGAAAGTCAGCCCAAAGGCAAACTCAATCAAACTTGGCCCAAGAGGTGATGTTTAAAAATATCCATCAGGGAAATGCAAGGACTCCTGGAAAAGAAGGGGACAAAAGCTGCCCAAACAGCGGGTTCAGCCACTGGCACAGGGGTCCTCCGTGTACATGGGATCTTGTAAACAACTCGAACAGGAGTTCCACGTTTTGGCGTCAACGCTTGCCTTGTTTGTAAGAGTCCCCCAAAACCCCTTTTACATATAGTAAGGTTCAAGTCCAAGCTTTCAACATTCTAGTCTTCAAGCGAGAGACCGCTGGATAAATTACGGCCCTGCCCGGGGGGATTGACATATAAAAGACCACCCTAGAGCAGGCTGTGGGCTCAATAAAGTTGAGCAGTTCACTGGTTTTGTATGCAACATTTGTTTCAGCACCGGGGTTCGGTTGTTACCAGTTTTCTTGCTGGTGTTCAGCAGGGAATGTCGGAATGAACCCAGGGATTCCCTTAAAGGAAACCACCAGTTGGACGATTTTTCTTGGTTTCTCCTTCCATCTCCCATTCCCAAGTTTCCTCTCCCACCAGCACGCTTTCCTCAAAAGCCGTCCTTGGAGTCCTTGTTCCCATCTGAAATCCAGATGTACTCATTCACCAGCTCGTCGGGGGTGAAGTGCAAGATGGCCTTCATGGTGCCCTGCATGTGCTCCCACTTCTCTGCGAGCCACGGGATGATGATGGACACCGTGTGATTCGCAAAGTCCTTCCTGTGCCAAAGGAAGGGAATAGCGGCAGAACAAATCAGCGTATGGAGGGAAGGTGAAGGAGCTTTCCAGCTGAAAGGCCCAAGGCGACAATATCCGTTCAAGCCCAAGCCCTGATGACCCCCTGCCCGCTATGACCAACTATCCTACATGATGCTGAGTTTCATGGAAAACTCAGAAGCATGCCTCGAGGCTTCAACTACTTCACTAAAACTGGGGAGGGGGGGGGTCAAACATGGCATGGTCACGATACCTCACCCTTTGGCCCTTCCGGCACCTCTTGAACTTGCGGCAGCCCTCTGGCCGCGTGTCGGGAGGATACGGGAATCCTCTGCTCGTGTCCCGCGCAACGCCATGGGAAAGAACGAAGCATAGTGCGCAGAGCGCCCAGCGCATTACCTCAGATGCAGCCGATTTTCTACTTTGATGGCTAGTTGCTTGGTGGCTAGTCCATCCTCGGTCGTGCGGGCGGGCGGTTGGTCGGTTGGCTGGCTGGCCTGCTGGTTGGTTGCTTAGGTTGGCTGGTTGCTCAGTTGTGGTTGCCTGGCTGCTCTTTTGCTTCGCTCGAATGCACGGGTGCTTGTGCTTGGGTATGGTTGGATTGGTTTTGCTCACTCCCAGTGCCATCTTACACTCTGGCAACGAAACAATCAAGCAATCAAGCAACCCAACACCAAAATGGCCCTGGGTCAAAATCCCGTACCCCCAGTGAACATCCCAATCCCAACTAAAATAGACTAAAATGGGTGGTGCACCTACTAGCCAAAATGGGATCCCATTGGTGTTGACCCACACCCAAATCCAGACTCACCACGACCCACGACACTGGCGACTCGCCTCGCCGCCTCGGCCGAGGGGCCTCGAGCTTTCTCGAGCCGCGAGCCAGGAGGCTCCGGGGCTATAAGCGAAGCTGCAGCATGGGGTTGTGACCCTCGGAACCCAATGGCTGCAGTTCCAACCGAAAAACCGAGCTGTTGCATGCTCCCCACAAGTGCAGGGAGAAAGCTGCCCTTCCAACATGCAACCTGACAGGGGGGGTCCTTTAAGAGGACACTGATCTTCCAGGTACTCTCCCACAAATGATATGTTTCTGGAAGGAGGGGTAGTAGCGATGGTAATCCCGAAACTACTGTGACTGCACAAAATCCTGCACCACTTGGAAACCATGATTGAAACCATTGCTTGTTGGTATTTACGGGGTCTCTTAGGTGGATTTCGTCCATCCACAGTTTCAAAGGGAGGCCTCGCAAATTCTGCCAGCTACGTTCCGCTATTGGACTTTGGCTTGGCTTAACGGGTGCTTGCTTAGTAAATGTCTCATTCAGTTTGAGCCTCGGCTATATCAGGTAACCAACGTCTTCCGAGCTTCAAGGGGCTGGGACGAATCAAAGCACTTTCAGGCAAGTCTAAGGGGAGGGACTGCAACTTGCCAAGCATGCTTGTCTTTTCCAATCGATTCATTGGGGGTCTGAGCCGTCCTTAGACAGGAATCCATTTTTGGCACACAGCTGCCTCGTCGTTGGGTGTCAAATGGTCACACTGAAGCACTGTCTTCGTGGCATCAGGGGTCCCTGACAAGCAGGACGCCTTCCAAGGTGGACAAAATACGTAAGCTACACAAGCAGCATAGCGCGGCTGACATGGTGACCCCAGCCTCTGCAAAGGCATGTGACGTCAGTCCCGAAAGGATGTCTTGACTTGCTGAAGGTGTGGGGGCCTGGCTACCAACTTAGACTTGTGCCATATGGGCGCTCGCCTTGCCCAAAAGGACCAACCAAAACTTGGTAGGAATCGAGGGTGTCCTGCGACCGGGAATCCCTTCAGACGATGTTTGAAACCACCATTTGGCGGGTGCCAAACATGAAGAACACCAAGGTGTGTCTTTTTGTTGAGGGTACCCCTTTGGGGTTGGTTTCAAGGGAAACCAAAGGAACCCCACCAACTTTAGGGGGGTTTCGCCTATTCAAAGACACCCCTCATTCAAGCCGTTCAAGAGTCGAGCGACTCGTCGACATCCGGCTGAGTTCCCGGCCCCTTCATCGCCGCCTGGTGCAGAGATCGATCCGAGTCGAAATCATGTGACAAACCCAGGCAACAAAGGCCCAAAGGCCGTTAAGGGGGGAAACCGAAGTCTGCCATTTTCGGGGGGAAGTCCAAATCCCCATTTTTTGGGGGGACACAAACCACATCAACAATTTGGCTCATTGATTCGACATCTCCGTGACCCAAACCAAATCATTGGCTCGTTGATGGAAACCATTCACCAGGTCTTATCGGCTCAAAATCCACTTCCCAGCGCCTGTCCAGCCCCGGACCCAACAGGAAGGCACTCGTCCGAGGCCAGAAACTCACGTTCCATCGAGTGGATTGCCCGGTTTACCAAACCGGTTTACCACTAAAATGGTCCAAGCCCAAGCGACGAACGTCTCCAGGAGCTCGAAGGAAACCAAAGTCGCGAAAGGACCCGGGAAGATCTGAATGTCTGGTGACAGCCAGGGAACAGGCGGCTTTATCTCTGTGGAAAGCTGGCAAGGCTAAATCAGGCTAGAAGAACTAACACACACACACACACACACTATGCATGACGCAGGGTGCAAGCCGGAATTCAGCAGTGCAGCTTCAGCTCTGCAAGGATTCAACAAGCCCTTCGAACTGCTGAAACAGCGCCCGTGGCGAATGGTAGGGCAACCTTCAAGGACAGCCTGCTGAAGACTCTCAATCACGGTTCCATACCAGGTTGACGTTGGAAGGGGAGCAACATTTTAATTTTAGCAGTTAAGTGGGGATTTCCCACTAAACCACAATAAGCGAAAATGTAACATGCTTCCCAACAACAACCATGATACATGATGCATGTGCCTCTGGATCCTCATCCCCTCTTCCCGAGTTCTCCGTTTGAGAAAATCCCACAGATCCTCGCAAGATCCGTTTCCTCCAAGTCTGGCCAGGCGTTTCCCATCTGGTGAACGCGGCGTGTCAGAAGCTGCCATCCGACCTCTTGAAAGCGGGCAACAAGTCCGCTCGCTCACCCGCCCTCCAATCATAGAAGCCAAAACGGGAGTTTACCACGTGCCAAACCCTCGGTGTGGTAGCAAACAACTTGTTCTTTTTTGCAGCTCACTACTAACATGAACCAAACCTACAAACCAAAACACCTAAAAAAAAAACCAACTACAGTGAAGCCCAGACTACATTCGTAGTCTCAGCAGTGTCCCATTCAGCCGCTTAAGATGAGCCCGACTCAAACTAGAAATCCATCCTGGGTTCCATAAGAGGCGAGTCCTTTTTGACATGTAGCATTTATATGTTCAGTGTTAATTTATCCAACTGCCAGAAAGGGGAAGAAAACAAACGCCATCGAGCCATGGGTTGACAAGTTGCTTTGTGGGAAACGCCCCCTTTCGGGCAAACCGCCAGTTCTCACAAGTGGCTGTCGGGATTGTGTTTGGCTGTTCAAAATCTTTGGACAAGAAGGTTTACCCCCCCCCACCAGCTAACATGGAAGTGCACAGACCCCTGTAGAAAGACTACTTTCCTCTTGGTGAGTTGGCCTTGTTGCACTTCCGCGTTAGTTGGTGGGAAGGTAATCCCCAGGCGCCATACTTCCCGGTTGGTTTCAACTAAACCGCAGGCGCCTGCCAGGAGCTCTCGGGAATGGGCCGCGAGGCCTGAGCCGGGCGCCGGGCGGGTGCCATGGAGGTGCTGAGAGAAGTTGGTGGTGGCCTAGTCTGAAGTGAACGGGTTCTGGAGCCCACCATCGCAAGGCCCTAAGGGGGAAGAGGACTGGAGCCCACCTTCACAAGTTGATCTGCACTCAGCTGATCTCGCACCTTTGTGGCGCCCCTTTTGGTTGAAAGCCAATCGCCGCTGGCTTTGAGGCAACCTCGAAATGAAGCTTGGGAGGGTTAACCATACGTGAAATATGGGAAAGAAACATGTACACGAGTGGCAATAATGACACCACCGATCTGATAAACACTACTGTAGGTGGGCAAGCACAGGGAAGCCAGTCTTAAGGCGAGCGCTGGCGCTTTGGTTAACCAAAGCGCCATTCTGAGACGTGCCCGCATAGCGGGTCCAACTCTTAGTCAGTCGCCCAACACATATTCCTAGGTCTGTTCAGGAACAAGCATACGCAACCATGAGCAATGGGGGAAAAAACATGAGCCACGGTCAAGACTCATTGTGCCCCCCTTGGAAATGTTTACAAGGATTTTAAAATTCTCGAGACAAGGGTGGCGCATCCCAATTGGCGGGTATCGATCTCCAAATGCCAGGGGAGTGACCCTTTTAAAGAGCTGATTTTCCTTTCTTGGCGGGTAGATCTTGCTTAAATTGAGGGGGAGGGGTGCGGAATTGGGTGACCTTCCATTTTTTTCGGGTTGCCTCTTGGTCGCCCCCCCAAAAGAACGGAGAAAAACAAAAGGAGAAAAAAAACGTCCCCCCGACGAAGAAGCGCGCGCTTCTGCGAGGGCCCCACCTCCGCCTCTCGGAGGAAGAGACTGCAGGCTTCGAAGGTGGAGAGGCGGCCTGGGTGGCCACTGGCGTCGGGCGAAGCCTTTGGGCCCCGGGTTGACTTGCTGGTTCTCAGGCAGTGTGGGAATGAACCTGGGGATTCCCTTCAAGGAAACCATAGAGGATGGTTTATAGGGGTCCCTCATTCCCGGCTCAGCACCAGCAAGTTCACAAACCCAAAGGGAAGTAGGAGCAAAAAGCGTTCGCCTTGCGGATGCCTGGAAAAGCCGCAAGGATTCAGACCACTTTTGGAGGGGAATACCCCCATGTGAATAAACAGGGGGTTACTCATCGGAGGTCAACATCTTTGCACTAAGGGCTCGTGTTGCTTCCTTTGCGGAGTGCTTATGAAAGGAAAACCTCACGGACAACGAAAACGTTTTGGCGGGTTCCAACCTTGAAAATGACACGCCTGAAAGGCACGCCGGGATTGCAAACAACTCCGACTCGTTATTCTTGACATTCAGACCCTCCAGCTCACAAAAATTTCGATTACGCGCCAAGCCACCCGAACCCAAACAACCCCCAAACCAACCCACCCCAGAAACCCAGCACCCCCCAGCCTCGACCAGCCCCAGGCTTCAGGGCATCAATCAGCGGAGACTGGAAGTCTCCCACCTCCTCCAGCCTCGCATCCAAGCCGACCGAGTCGAGCCCACTTGCAAGTCTCATGATCTTCGCTGGCCATTTTGCATGTGGCTCTTATAAAAAGCCGAGACCCTTGGCCCGCAAGCTGAGATCCTGCTGTTTGGAGGAAGCACCTCATCCTTTTTATGCTGTGACAAAGCCGTGAAGACTTCCAATGGGTCACAAGCTGAGTTGCAATGAGTTGCTGCACATGACGGGCCTTGATGGTGACCTTGGTTTTGCTCACGTTCATTTTACCTTTCGGGGTTTCCAGGCCCTGCGCTGTATGCAACGACCTCAATTCCTGTCGAAACCAGTGCGAGCGGTCAGCGAGCGTGCCTCAAGCACGGTATGGGCGGACGACCCATGACGCGGCGGCGGGCTTCGATCACATCCCTCATTGCCTGTACCTGGCCGCCCAACTTTTCATCGAAAGGGAAGCGCGTGAACTGCAAAGGCCAAGTCGTGCGTGCGCTGCAACTGCTTGTTTCTGGATTCTGCAGGTATGACAGTAGAACAACGTCAAGCAGTCGACTGCTGTCAGTCTGCCTTCCGTGACGCGTCTAGTCCCATAGCATTGGATGTTGATTGCGTGCAAGTCGGCAAATCAAACTCCGGGGAAAAGGGCACATTTCGCCAGGGCAGCTTGGGGGCAAGGTTGACTGCTCGCGTGTCGGTTCGTTGCATACCTTTGCTTTGCCATCACCCGGAATCAAGGCAAAAGCCAAACAAGCTAAGGAAAGTCTTGCTTCAAAGCCACACTGCTGTAGATTCCAAAGTAAGTCAGACTCACAAGCGTCCCCGTACTTGTTCTGATTGAAACCATTGTTTTTGAGGGCCAAAGCACAGAATCAACATCTCGGACCAGGGTGGACTCGAACCACCACAATTTGCTTCTGCAAAGTGTGAATCACTTCGAGATTGCAACGCCTCACCCATAGGGCAACTGGTCCAACTGGTGCAATGGTTGTTCTGTACCTGTAAGCTTGAAATCACACTGGGTTGAGTTGCTTGATATGGGACAAAAGGTCAAGACTTGAACTTCAAGGGCAACTACGCCATGCTTCTCTTAACCAGCGAAGCATGGAAGATGTAGTTTCCCACGAGTTCAGGGTACCATGGCTTGGGCAAAAAGCAGGTCAGCTTTACCCAGTTAAACTTGCTTGTGCACAGGACAATGTTCTGGAAAGCCAGTCCAATAGGCAAGAAAACGCGGTGAGGCAAAGCAAAAGCGAGCACGGCGGCATTGTGTCTCAAAGACAAGTCTTTTGAATCTGACTTTCTGACATGGCAATGGCTCAAAATAGGGGAACCTCAACTGGAGGTTTTCTTCTTCGGTTTCCCCTTCATCCATTAAACAGGGCCTCAAAAAAGACGAGCGACCCACAGAGAAGGTCACTTGCTCCCAGGATCCATCCAAGACCAGCCTGGCCACACCGGTCACAAAGGTCGAAAACACACCATACCTCACCTGAGTGGAGATGCCGAAAAGAGCCGACGGAGTTTTGGCCACTAAGATGTCAAACCCGCAAAGTGATTCCACAAAAAGTCCAAGAACTCAGGAAGATACTGATCAAGAAGCCGACTCCGTCCGGGCAAGGAACTCGCACTTGCCACACAAACCTCAGGCGGGTCTGACTGGCAGGCGCTTGACCGTCTCAGTCTTTCCTGAAAATTTGCATTGGAGTGAGCGGGAAGAGTGGCCTTGTCAACTCCCGCTGAATCAAGCACAACGTCATCGTGCATGCGGCGGCCACATCGGTTCTGCCAAAAGACTCAAACAACGATCAGCGGAACATGCAACCGTTCAACCGAGCCGGAAGGGCAGAGTGAGCTCAGTGTCAGGAGCTGCATCCTGCCGTGCCAGGCATGCCAGGAAACACACCGCCTCAAGCTGGGACAGCCATGCCACCGATGATATTGAAGCCAATCTGTACATCCTCGAAATCTAGGTGCATGCAACCACTAGCTTGGCCCAACTTCGAGCATCGCACAAAGAGCCTTCACATGCATGTGTGTTATCCCAATCAATGGCCCAACTACAACATTCTTTCCCCCGCCCACCATAGGTGGCCTTTTTGGAAAAATAGATGGCCCTTGTAAATGGGGCATAAACCCCATCTAAACCAGGAATCGCCCTCTATTTTTTAAGCAAACCAGCCAAAAAAGGGCACCTACGCCTCCCCCTCGTTGCCCTTCTTCACGCGGCCGAAAGTCGCCCTTGGACCATCGACGTCCGAATGCTGAGGCACGGGCATCCGACCACTCCGCCAGAGTCCTCAGTCGCAACGTCCACATGGCGTCCACTCCAACCACCAGACCGTTGCCCAGACAAACAAGATTCAACCGGTTCAACCTGCGGGGTGTGCCTTTTTTAGCTTTTTAGGGCACCCCCCCAAATGGCTCCGTTTCCTTTATTTGAGCTTCCCTTTGAAACCAAACGAAGGGGTACCCCAAAAGAAGACAGACCCATGTCGGCTGCCCGAAGGGAAACAGTTCCTTCCGCAGCAAAAGGGTGTTGATGGCCTTACATGCGTTGGCCAAAAGGAAATCCACCTTTTGCGTTGTCCCCTAAAAACAAGGCACACCCAGATTAGAATGTAGTCCGCTCCCGCCAATAGATTTGCAAGATTCACGCTTCACTTCCAAGGCAAGCAACCAAGATTGGCATGATGAACACTAATGGACAGTTCTGGATAAACCATGATTGATAAACCAACGGATTTGTCCGTCCTTGACGGAAACTTTCCAGCCCCTGGTGCCAAGCAAGGACTGCATCCAGAACTCCCCTCACCCGTCCCTCACTCAGCCATCACCCAAACCACCTCCCCCCTCCAACAACACAAAACCCAAACCACCCTCCCCCCCCAAAAAAAAAACAAAAACCCCCCCCCCCCCGAAAAGATAATAATAATAATAATAATAATAATAATAATAATAATAATAATAATAATAATAATAATATTGATAAGAAGAATAAAACGAGGAAAAAAAAGAAAAAAGAAACTCCCCCAAACCACCTCTGCCCACCCCAAACCCTCCATCCCCCTCCCTCCCCCCATCCCATCCCATCCCTCCCCTCCATCCCCCCGCCTGCTGCCATCTCCCGGCAGCAGAAGCAGCACCTCCCCGGCCAGAACCTCCTCCAGCCGCTCTTCGTGGGCCTGGACCTCGCCGGACCGCGGACGCGCCCAGGCTGGAGCGAGGGATCTGGGTAGATATGTATACATCTATATATGTATATATATATATATGTACATATATATATATATGTACATGTATATGTATATGTACACATCCAGTCAACAGGGGAGGTGGGGATGCGGGTTTGGGGATGGGGGAAGGGGGTGGGGATGGGTGTGGGAAGGAGTCAACGACTTTTCAGGGTCGTAATCAAAACCCGGGATCACAGTGGTCGATCCCCAGAACCATGCTTCAAGAATTAAGAAGGCGGATATCCGCAGCTTTTCGTGGCTGGGAGTCTCCCTCACTAACCTCCATCTACCCAGCTTTTGATTGTGGCTCAGGGTGGACACGTTTGATTTCAGGTGTCATTTCTGAAGGCGCCTCCAGACCTTGACGTCCCGTTGCATCCTGCTGACAACTTGGTTGATAAGGCTGACCAACCTGCTTGATGCCCACATACTCTCGAGTCTGCCTCTTCGAAAATGTCCACACAACGCGCGCTTGGTTTGGCTTAGCTGCCAAGACCGGCAAAAGGGAGCCCGGGCGCTTGGATACACAGCCAAATGTCCGGAGCTTCAACCGGGCCCCCCGCACCGAAGACCAGAAAGTCGCCGCCCAGCACACTGGCCTCGAGTCCGTGCCCAGTGACCCTGTGAGAAGCAGGAAAACCCAACGGGGGAACCGAACAACTCGGTCTACGTTTTCGCCTGGCCTCAGAAAGTAAAACTCGGCACTTTGGCTGTTTCGCAGTGGCTTCTGCGGCCAGGTGACCAATCTATGTCTTTGTCAGCTGTTGCGCATGTTTTTTCCTTCAAGAACCAACGCCTAAACACCATCTGGCTTTACCACGTAGAGACCAGGATGATATGTACCCCTTCTTGCTGCATTGCTGCGCAAAACAGATCCCCGACAGGATGCCCCGACAGGATGCCCCGACAGCAGCGCGGAAAGCTCTGTGCAAAACACAGCATCTGAGCAACAAAAGGGGCAGGGGGCAACAGTGCACTCGCTCATCGGAGTCAGGTCTCAGAACCAACCCAAACAACTGAACAGAAACCCGCCAAGGCACCCTCCTGTAAAAAACAGCAACAAAACACGCCCCCCCCCCCACACAATCAAACAAAAACAAAAACAAACACAAAAAGACCACACCCCATCCCAAAAGATTCAGCAACCCTCTGTGAAGCGCACCACCAGCTTCCCACTGCTGCTGGACCGCAGGAACTCCAGCGGGTGGCACAGCAAGACCTCAGTCCGTCCCCGTCCGCTCCGTTGGCTGCGCGTTTTTTCAAGGCACACGGTGGCCACGGGTCATCCGCAACATGGCGAGGTCAAACACCGTCCGTTTGGGGACAGCTTGACGTCATTCTCTTTAAACAAACAAACAAACAAACAAAAACGGCGAAGCGTGAAACTGGTGAGCTCCTTGTAAAGTTGGTTTGGAGAACCAACTTCTTCACGTGCCCGGGTCCATGAACGCCATGATAATAATTATTCATCAAATATTGCCTTTCCTGCCTGCCTTAGTAGGAATGCTTGTGTCTATTTAGTGCAACTGGATTCACTGGGGAGAAAACACATGAATCTGGGCAGACGGGGCAGACTGAGTCCAGCTCCCATTGCACATCACTCATGACCTGCGGCATCTAACTTGCACTCCGTACGCCGCGCGGTAGCAAGCCATCCAGTGACAGCGCTGCACAGATCCGCGGGCAATCGTGGTGTTTGGGCTGTATCCAACAGGAATCCGCGGGCAATTGTGTTACAGCTGTATGCAGCAGGATTTTTCAGCTGCCTTAGGAGAAATTTGGATCAGGTTGCAGTCCCCGGCATCGGTGCTGGGCAGTGCTGGCCTGATCGCACGTCTCACGACAAATGCAGTCCTCCTGCAAAGGGCCCGACAAAAACTCAGCACGACTTCTGCCTCAATTTGGGTGCGCCTATAAATGGAGCTAGTGCATCGATTCCAAGCGCCTGCAATGCTGCAATGTGTCGTCACATCCCCCGTCCCGGCAGTTCATCAGCCTCAATCCATGTTGGATCAACACCTCAACGAAGACCTCCCCCCCCCACGCGATGTTTTACCCATCGATAGGGCTTGTCAAAAAAGACTTCACGGAGCCCAAAGCTGCCTGGTGAGGCTGGGGTCGAAGGGCGTCAGAGTGCCCCGCGTCTTGGGTCGAACCTTAAGGATGCACGTCCCATCATATCCTCCTGTGAACCCATGATTGTGATTGCGGCATGCCCCCCAAAAAGAATGCAAAGCAAACACAAGACATGCCAGTCTCGGGGGTTCTTGGGTTTGCTCGGATATAGCCCACCCATCTCCTCTGGCAGCCAGCAGTACCGGCACTGGCCCACTTCTTCACTTGCCTCAGCCGACGCGCCTCGATAGCACCCCTCACAGACTTTGAGTAGCATCACAAGTACAAAAACCAGCTCGAATACCACATGCACACCAGTACGCCGAAAAATCTGAAGCTTCCCAAAAAACAAACCAAACACTGGATGGGCTGTGCCCCAGACATCAGCCCCCCGCCTTGACTGTCAGGTGAAGCGCATGACCAGCCACCGAAAGGAAGGGGTCCTGCGGCCGGCTCCGTGGGACCCGAGCCAAATGACTCACTGGGAATCCTTGAAAATGTGATGCACAAGTTGACTTCCCATGTGGCATCCATGCGATGCCTCACTACGAATGAACGTCTCCTGCACAAGAGCCGGACCGCAGGTGCTCAACATGTATGTAGCTATGTACTTATCAATACCTCCAGTGCAACTACCAGCCTAACATGATTTACCACGCTTCCAGATTTCATCCAAGTCTACCAGTGCGTGCAGCAGACTTGGCAACCTAGAAATTTGTCTCAAATACAGGAATCAAGCCATTCCAAGCTATCCCGAATCGAAGCAAGCATAATGTTGACCCCATATTAATCAACCTCAGCTTATGAATAGGGGGGTGTTCCCCTCCGTGATGATTCCCCACTAAACCCAGGGACACCCCCTACTAATAAGCTGGGGTTGACTAATATGAGTTCAACATTACAGCAAAACCGAACTACTCGCCGGCAACATGGGCCTGCAGCTCCGTCACTCTCTGGTTGACATCCTGCCAAAGATGGAGATTCGGCATCATCCGATCAAATTCCAAAGCGTCTTGCCAACAAGTGCAGGGCCTTGCTTGCACTGCCGCTTGTTCATGTCACTAAGTTCCACAGGCATCTGCAACATTGGAAGTATCTACACTGAATCTACACAGACCATTGTAACATGCAATGGGAGTATTCCTGATTGAGCCTGGTTGAGGATTTTTTGCTTAACACGCCAGGGCTGTCTATTCTACTAGCCGCGGCTGAGCACAAGGCCTGTGCCTCTAAAGAGGTGGCAGTTCAGAGTTGCTCGGGGCCGGCGTCGGGTGAGTGTTGGGCTTGCTGAGGTCTTCATGAGAGCGGGTCTTGGGTTTATTTGGGGTCATTTAGCTCAAAGGGCTGATATGCAGGATGCTGTTGAGAGGGGCTTGAGGTTCACTTTGGTCTTCAAAACCTGGAGGAAAACAACAAGCCCCTCCCCTCCCACGTGTGAGTGAATGTCAACCCCATTCACATCTCCTTGCAACCTGAAGCAAATGCATCAGCGGCGGTTTGCCCCCGAAAGTTACTCAAGCACGTGATTTTTGCATCTCAGGAACTAGCAAACAAACTGAAGGTCTCCTGAGCTTGCGCGAAGGCCTGGTCGACTCCTCAGTATCCAAAGAGATGCCAAGGGGAAAGCCCTGGATCCAAGTCCTTGCACTCATGCAGCTTTGTGAGGGCCAGCGCTCTTTTCACTAGGAAAGCAAACGCCTTGTGCATCCAGCGGGCGGGGCTTCCACCTTGTGCCTCGCACCATGAATACATAGAACAACAAAGACTGAGGGCAACGAAGTTCCAATGACACTGACGTTGTTGGTGTTGAGACTGAAAATATCGAACCGCTCGACTTCAAGATGAAATGGCCCCATGAATACTGGGATAAAGGAAAAAATCCACGGCCCCATGAACATTGGGATAACAAATCCAACTGGTGCCGGATGTTGTCCATCCGCACGGTCAAAAAGCAAAGAGCGACCAAGGGAAGTTTTCTTGGAGCGGCACGCCGGCGATAGCGCACCGACGGCTCCTGGCCCGAGGAGGAGCCGTTTTAATGGACCCAAGACGGCCTACTGGTTGGAGTCCAAAAATCGCCAAAGTACCAGGTTTTTTTCCAGCCTGCTTCCTCCTAAAAGATAGATGCTAGAAAAGAAATGAAACAAGGGATGTCCCCCTTCATGTTTACATCTCTCTCACACAATTGGGATGCCCCTTTTTCAGACTTGTCTGTGGTGGTTTGGATCGTTTCGGACAGCTGCCACTGAAAAAGGCATAACCGGCCGCCGATGATTGTGCTACTCTGAGCAAGCCAGGACTTCTTCTTCAGAGACACCGACTTATCCATCCACGAGGGAAGTCCTCATTTCCTTTGGTCTCAGGTTGGCAGTGGCGGTTCTACTGAGCAAGTGTAAGAAACCTCCATGTTTGCCACAAACTGAAAACGAGCGCAGATTGGTCATCTTACCACACACAAGCAATGATGTACAGCACCGTACTTTCCAGTCGAAGTTCGTGTGTCTCGGCTTTGTAGACAACGTGATTTTGTAGGCCCCTTGGTGCGTGGGGTGCTTCGCTTGCCTTCTTGTTCCGGCATGCCGACTAATCATCAGCATCGGCTTGTTCAAGCAGCCCCCAACAAACTGCACCGACCCCGACCAACACACTTAAGGAGCTAAGGAGCTCTGAAAAAAAAGCTTGACAAATCTAAAGGGCCGGCTCAGGATCTCCACTCCAGCACGGCGAACATGCTTGCCACCTCCTCTGAAGGAAAAAAATGGGGAAAAAAAGAAACAAAGAAAGATACAAACAAACAAGCAAACAAATCCAACAAACAAACAACCAACCAACCAACCAAACAGCCAACCAACCAAGCAACCAAACAAACAACCAACCAACCAACCAACCAAACAACCAACCAACCAAGCAACCAAACAAACAACCAACCAACCAACCAACCAACCAACCAACTAAACAACCAACCAACCAACCAAGCAACAAAACAAACAACCAAGCAACCAAACAAACCACCAACCAACCAACCAAGCAACCACACCAACAACCAACCAACCAACCAACCAAACAACCAACCAAGCAAGCAACCAAATAAACAACCAACCAAGCAACCAAACAAGCAACCAACCAACCAAACAAACAACCAAACAACCAACCAACCAAGCAACCAACCAACCAACCAACCAACCTAACAAACAACCAAACAAACAACCAAACAACCAAACAAACAACCAACCAACCAAACAAACAAACTAACAACCAACCAACTAACCAACCAAACAACCAACCAACCAACCAAACAACCAACCAAGCAACCAAACAAACAACCAACCAACCAACCAAACAAGCAACCAAGCAACCAAACAAACAACCAACCAACCAACCAAACAAACAAACAACCAACCAAGCAACCAAACAAACAACCAACCAACCAAACAAACAAACAACCAACCAAGCAACCAAACAACCAACCAACCAACCAACCAAACAAACAAACAAACAAACAAACAAACAACCAAGCAACCAAACAACCAACCAACCAACCAACCAAACAAACAAACAACTAACCAAGCAACCAAACAACCAACCAACCAAACAAACAAACAAACAACCAACCAAGCAACCAAACAAACATCCAGCCAACCAAACAACCAACCAAACAACCAACCAACCAAGCAACCAAACAAACAACCAACCAACCAACCAAACAAACAACCAAACAAACAAACAAACAACCAACCAAGCAACCAAACAAACAACCAACCAACCAAACAAACAAACAAACCAACCAAACAACCAACCAACCAACCAAACAAACAAACAAACAAGCAACCAAGCAACCAAACAAACAACCAACCAAGCAACCAAACAACCAACCAACCAACCAAACAAACAAACAACCAAAAAAACAACGAAACAAACAACCAAACAACCAACCAACCAAACAAACAAACAAACAAACAAACAAACAAACAACCAACCAAGCAACCAAACAACCAACCAACCAACCAACCAACCAACCAAACAAACAAACAAAGAAAGATACAAACAAACAAGCAAACAAATCCAACAAACAAACAACCAACCAACCAAACAGCCAACCAACCAAGCAACCAAACAAACAACCAACCAACCAACCAACCAAACAACCAACCATCCAAGCAACCAAACAAACAACCAACCAACCAACCAACCAACCAAACAACCAACCAACCGAGCAACCAAACAAACAACCAACCAACCTAACAAACAACCAACCAACCAACCAACCAACCAAGCAACCACACCAACAACCAACCAACCAACCAACCAAACAACCAACCAAGCAAGCAACCAAATAAACAACCAACCAAGCAACCAAACAAGCAACCAACCAACCAAACAAACAACCAAACAACCAACCAACCAAGCAACCAAACAAACAACCAACCAAGCAACCAAACAACCAAACAAACAAACAAACAACCAACCAACCAAACAAACAAACAAACAAACAAACAAACAACCAACCAAACAAACAAACAACCAACCAAACAAACAACCAACCAACCAAACAAACAAGCAAACAAACACATCACAAAGGCACTGCAGTAGTTCTTTTCAGCTCCGATCCGGATCTCCCACATTGCGGCAAAAAGTGGCGGCTGGCCCGCCTGCAACTTCCGCGCCAAAAGCTGCACCACGGAGCTCAGGCCTCGGTCTGAGGCTGTCTGGTCTTCGACTCAGACGAGCAGCGACATCCACCACATGTTCAGTGGCTCTTTGACACAGGCGCTTGCATGGAAAAAAATCGTCAAGCTGGGACAAACATCAAAGAATAATTTTAATAGGGTTCGGAACCCTCCCAACCAAAAACGGGGTGAGAAAGGGCACTACTGGACCTAGAGGTGATCACCAGTTGACCGCAAGTGTACTGGGACCAAACGAGGAAGACTAAAGGTCGAAACCCACTTGGGGATGTCTTTCCTTTTTTGTTGATACCCTTGAAAGGGCCTGTTTCAAAGATAAATTCGGCAAACAAAAGAATCAGCTGGGGGGGTCCATATGAATATGTCTTGGTTTTGCGGACCCCCCAAAAAAAAGAAGAGAAAAAAAGAAGGCGCAACGAAGTTCCGTTTGGTCTCCCGTTAAAACCAACCAAAAAGAGTACCGAGCCTCTCAAAAGACAGATCCACTTGCCCAAAGGATCCGGGAACAAAACGTGATAACCTTTCGGGACTTTAACAACTCGGATCAAAAATGGGAAATGCCAAAGGTCACCGATTCGCTTTGGGCAAGCGAGTCTACAGGAATGCCGGAACGCTGAGACTCTCTTCGGCTCCGATTAGAATCGGGGAGTTGGGATTGTCCAATCTCAAGGCACCAAAGCAAAAGGTGGATTAGAATCGGGGAGTTGGGATTGTCCAATCTCAAGGCACCAAAGCAAAAGGTGGCAAAAAGCTGGCATATGCCAGCCCGCACGTTCCCTCACGTGTTTCCTTTGGCATTGCTTGTGTTGCACGGAGCCCCGCAAATCTGGCTGGATCCATGAAAATCTGCCAAGCTTGGAACACGGCTGCCCTTCACGCCAGGCTTCAGCAAGCTTCCATCATTTCGATCACAATTGGACTCACCGGCTTCGTAATTTCCGCCAGCTCAAGTTGAGCAGGAGATGCGTGGCTGGAACGAAGTGAAGCTCAAAGCATCTTCAATCAGAATCAAAACCCGCTATAAAAATGGTGAACCCAAAACCATGTAAAGAATTAAGAAGGCGGACATCCGCAGCTATTCATGGTATTGTCCCTTACTAAGCTTCATCTACCCGGGTTTTGAGCACGTGGCTCACCTTCTCCGCCTTCTTAATTCTTGAAGCATGGCTCTGGGTCGACCACTTTACTACCGGGTTTTGATTACGACCCACCTGAAAAGTCGTTGACTCCTTCCCACACCCATCCCCACCCCCCTTCCCCACCCATCCCCAAACCCGCATTGTGACTCACTTGTCCGCTCGACGAGCCTGACGCTTTCTCTGGCCTCCTTCCAGCCCCGCCTGTGTGATAGCTCCCCTCCAGCACCTCTCGCTCCAGCGCTCTGCCCACCACCTCGCCAGCGAGGAAAGGCTGGGCACCAAAGGGCGCTTCGAGATGCCCCACCAGCTAACATGGTGGAGTGCAAAAAGGCCCCTGTAGAAAGGCTACTTTCCTCTTGGTGAGTTGGCCTTTTTGCACAGACCCATGTTACTTGGGAGGGTAACAGCTTGGATACTGACAGGGGGAAAAAACGGGGGAAGTCCACAAAACGCACATCCAAACTGCTTGCTAGACTTATGGAGCGCCCGATTCGCCATTCGAACGACGTGGGAATTGAGGCAGCTTTCATGCTGACGGCAGTACAAAGCCAATCTGCCTCCAGTACATAGTACTCAGTCTACTCGATGCCATCTGTTAGCATCTAAACCCTTCTGGCTATGGTCTCTGTTTGTAAAACAAGCCTGGGTACCTAATGACTCGGATCGTCTCAAAAGCGCTAGGGCTAGAACCGAACCGAAAATACAGACAAGAACACCAGGGGGCTGCTCCGTTGACTCGGAGATGCGCGACTCCAAGTCTCAGGACATGCGCGGTTTGACACTGTTTAGGAACCCACCAAGTCCCGTCCAAAAGCTGAAGCTTTCCTCTGGTTCTGGAACCAAGGGAGTCGAGCTTCAAGCTTAAGCTTGCCATGAGGGATATGAACAGCCTCAGATCGACACGCACGCCTCCAGACCGCTGAAATCCTCTCGAAGCATCTCAAGGGTCACCTGCGCGACAGCCGAGGACGAGTCCCGCTCCAGAAGAAGCGTCGTGTCAAATTTGCGCATGACCGTAGGTAGTCAGGGGTGGTCCACCTAGTGAGGGGATTGATCCCTTTGCTGCGGTCGCTCATGTGCGAAACTGGGCACCCTGCGAGGCGGTCTTCATCTGGAGGCCCGCCGGTGTTGTAGCGAGGCCTGGGCCACATATAATCGAAACCTCGGCATGAACATATATCTATATAACCATATACATATAGAGAGAGAGAGAGACAGAGAGAGAGAGTGAGAGAAAGAGAGACACAGAGAGAGAGAGAGAGACAAAGAGAGAGAGAGAGAGAGAGAGAGGGAGTGAGAGAAAGAGATAGACAGAGCGAGAGGGAGAGACAGAGAGAGAGAGAGAGAGCAAAACAAAACAGATGAAATTACCCTACAAGTATATATCAGGAGCTTGCAAGGGCTTGCAAGGCTTGGGCATGGCCCTCATTCAAACTAGGACTTTGGGTCATCAACTGAGCAACTTGCACCGGCGCAGCCATCTCTTGCTTGATGAGAAATGAATGTGGCCCGATCTCCAATACCTTCAAAGGCTTCCAAGAGGAAGCAGACCTCTTCAAACCCCATCGCAAGGGATCCCCGGTGTGGCTTTTACTCCAATCCTTTTCTTGCTGCTGCGATACGTGGGGAATGAGAATTGGAATGAGCAAGAAAAAACCCATTGGTGGCTTCATGTTTCCTTTGCGGGGACCAAAGCCTAGGGTCATTCAACCACATTCCCCACTTATCTGCACCGATCGCAAGTTTTGGGCGCCGGGCTGCTCGGGGGTGAAAGCCTCCAACACGATCAGACCTCGACAGGCGCGGGACGGCCCACCCGCCCCCGAAAGAGCCCCGAAACAAACTCAGGGCGGATCCCCTAGAGACTGACTTCAGCCATGCAACATGTCGGATCCGGCAAAATCAGTGGCCATGTCCTGAAATTAGCTTCAGCTTCCCGTTGGATATTGCTGTGATCTCAAGAGGGGAGGCGCTTCGGTCCGGACAAGTACCCACATAGAGTTCAATGCGGAACACTGGGAACACCTTCCCGAATGCTTCTAGGCATAAATCCCCCATGCAAACGATGTCTGCCAAAACCTGGGTCCCAATTGAATTTCATTCCAAACTGGGAATACTCTTGAGGTGTTGCAACAAAAGAAACCACATGAGCTGGCAAAATACAAGTATTAAAACTCTTATCCCAAGTGGTTTTCATGGCAAATCCAAGCGGCGGTCTTCATAAGCATGCTCCGCTAGAAATCCCCCGCCAGTCCGTTTCGGAAGTCCACGGGGCCTCCCGGCCGTAGAGCTCCAGCAGCTGCCGCGTGAACCTCGCGCGACAACATGTGGGTGTCTCTTTGTTTGATACCCTCCCACACACCCCTTTATAAAGACTACTTTCCTCTTGGAAAAAGCCTTTTTGCACTTCCATGTTAGTTGGTGGGAAGGTACCCTTCTTGGGCTAGTTTTTCCCCTGGGAACAGAAGGAACGCCGCCAACTTTGAGGGTCTACTTTGCTACAAAGGCAAATGGCTGTGGAGTTCAATTCAGGACATTTCGGATTCATGTCCACCACTCTTGAGGTGGTGCCCTATTAAGACTCACAGCCATATGGGTGTTTCTCAAAATGGTGGACCCTATGTTGAGAAACCGTCATATGGAGCGTGCTTCACATGAGCTTGGTTCCCCCGTCGCTTCCATGAAAACCGTAGGAGGGTGTCCTCAGACATGAATTGGAATTGGCTTCGCAACGTTTGGTGAGTATCTTTCAAGAAGATGAACATCATACACCCATAGCGTCTTTGGGCGGTGGAATTTTGCTGGGATCTCATTCAACAGTATGATACAAAATGATGCAATCGCGGATCCGACAGAATGGACGGCAAATCAGCCAACCGCTTCGGAGGATGCTTCCCATTAGGTTCTACAACCACATCTTCATTTGGAACGTGTTAAGATATACATGATCGAACACATCTAAGCCGCAATGCATGTCTATGCTTGCACAGAGAAAGCTCAACTCTTTTCATGCACCATTGCGACTGGGCATAAGCCGAGGGGGGATGGGAATGTTTGGAAGCTACATCTGAGTCATACTCAAAGCCCGGTATTGAAATGGTCTACCCAGAACCATGCTTCAAGAATTATGAAGGTGGATATCCGCGGCTCTTTATGGCTGGGATCGTCCCTTACTAACCTTCATCTACCCGGGTTTTGAGCACGTGGCTCATGTGGTGATTTGCCAGCGCCTTTTGGCTCAGGCACAAGGCAAGGGAGTACTCGCAAAGCTCTTGGAAAGAGGTCAAACTTTCGGCTACCCTCCAGGGATGCGCCAGCACCCGGCCATGACGCCGTGTTTTTGTTTGGCATCAGGGCAGTCTGAAGCGACCCCCAGCAAGGGCCCAGGCAAAGCTGGGGAAGTGTCCCCATGCAAAGTATGTGACGCACAGTCAGAGTTGCTCAGTGCTCCCGAGAGAAAAAATCTCATTGCGGGAGTCCGCGGGCCCTTGTGCCTTTTTTTTGTCGTGAGTCCCCCGCATCCCTCGAACATTGGACCAAGTTTCAGGACACGTATGGCAAAACCGCATGCGGATCAAGGTCAGCCATGGCAAAACCTTGCCCTTCCTGAGGAGCAGCAAGATGTCTCCGGATCCAAGAATTGGACATGCTGTGCTCCCCATTCCCTCGACCAGCATTCCTTGCCGTTGCTCCAACCACAGAATCAGTTGTCGCCTGACACATGTGCTGCGAATCAATGAAGTTTGGGGCATTGAGGCGCAAAGATCATGAGGGTGAGCCTATGGAGGGTGGTCTCGATTCCCGACAAATCGGAATCGCGTCCCTTTGAAAGCGCTACAGTCCAAAGTGCTGACCATCCGCATGAAACTCCGGTATCCAAAACTCCACGTTGGCATTCAGATCTTTTTTTAATCACCTGTTGCATCAAAGAAACCCTTGCACTTCTGTCTCCTTATCATAGACGGCCCCCCCCACATAGTAGATGTGTTTGTCAATTGATGTCTCGATTCTGATCGTATGCCTCTCCTTGGAGTTTTTCTTGTTGGATACCCTGTGGGTGTGGCTCAAAATTAAACAGGAGGGGCAAATCGCAGGTGTTGGTCCATGTTTCCACTTCCCGGGGTTCCATTTTGGAATTCCGGTTTTTTGAGCCACAGCCCTGCGAATTCATCCCAACCCTCGCCACATCCTTCTTTCGACCCTCCACCCTCGCCTGTCTCCGGAGCTCTCCAGGCAGGTGGCAGAAGATGGACACAATGACATCCCAACCTCCAGGGAGCAGTGCGCGTGCAGGGAGCACTGTGGCCAGAAAAAAATGCTTGGCTTCATGGCGGCCATGCAAATTGGCACCAACTCAGGTACATGCATATGATATATGTATACACAATACATGATGCATACGTATATAGATGTATGTACATATTCACATCTTGCACGTATATATATATATATATACATAATATACATAACACCAGACCCACACACACACACACACAGCCGCGCGCGCGCACGGCAGAAACACTCCGCCAGGCACCGGGCTTTCGCCTTTGCCGAAGTGGAAGTCGCCCAGGTCCGCTGCCACCTAAGCCACAGATGCGGGAGCTGTGGGCCGGGTACTCGGCCCTTTGGATCGTCCCAATGAAGATTCCCCATGAGTCTTGTCGTTGTTGTTGTTGTTGTTGTTGTTGCTTTTTGCTGTTGTTGTTTTTTGATTTTTTTATCGTGGTTAGACCCCCTTGCTGATTCCCCATGGACAAACTCACCCGGTCTGGGATACCTACGTGATTCTTTTGGACCAAGAGATGCCTGCCGTATGTTCGACGAGAACTCATGACATGCTTCACTTTGTCTTGGTTGTGAACCTGCGAATTCCACCCTGTTTGGATTGAAGAGTATGTTAGGGGCGGAAAGAAAACATCCCCAGATCATGTTCGCGCGGGGCCACATCAAGTTTGTGATGGCCTTCATTTGAAGCCCGCATAGCAACAACTCCCTGGGTGTTCACATGCCTTCCTTTGGCAGGTTCGGAGGTGCTCCAAACACGGCGGGTCGTGGGCATATCACGCGTGGGACTTCGACCTGCTGGGAAAACTCACATGCTCAAGAACCTTTGCGTGAACAGGAACATTGAGAGTGCACTTTGTTTGACTGGCTATAATTTCGTCAGAAGCTTGTCTACAGTTACACGAGCCGGAGCGGCTTGCGTCAGGACTTGACCAACCTTCAGCCGCGCTCTGGCGGAGCAGCAGGCGCAACAGCCAAGGATCTTTGTTCTTCAAGTGAGCGCAAAGCCGGTGACTATGTTGATTTTCGTCACGAGAAACACACAAAAAAACACGTTCGCTCGATGCCTGGCGGCAAAGCAACTTGTTTCGCTCAACGGGCGCGCACACAAGGGAGGCAGAGAGAGCGGGGAAGACGAGTTGTGCGGACGCAATTACGCGCGATGACGCCAGCAGAAAGAACGACATGTTACATGGGCATCATCGAGACCTAAGATGCGCTTCCTCCAAATCTACGTGCGGAGGAGGAGATGGAGCAACACGAAGAAGAAGAAGAAGAAAGTGTGCGAACAGCAAGGCCGCATCCGGAACAACAAATCTTGGAGAGCTCGTCTTCCGCTCGGGTCAGGCGAGGCGGATACTCTCTCTCAGAGAAGCCTAGGGCCCGAGTGTCAAGTGCGCAGTCAAGTTGGATCTTGAAAGTCTGTTCGTCAAAACAAACGCGTCGGGGCGGCTGCCCCAAGGCTGGAACTGCTCAGTCCGTTTTGCCATGAAACAGTTCAAGCTTCCCTGGCCCAAAAAAGATTTAACCCAAACTGTCTTGATTTACCACAAAGAACTGTTCCAACCCCCAAAAGGGACGAAAGTTCAGCAACCCAGAGAGTGAGACATGCCTTGCCCTCCTTGGGCCCCCGCCGTCTTGACCTTCACTCCCCGCTCTTGCGCCAGCCGCCGCGCCTAGACGCATGCGCGGGCGCATGCGCGCCGCGCGGGCGCATCGGGCGCATGCGGCGCATGCGCGCCCGTGCTCGACCCTCGTATACAATCAGCTGGGAGGGGTGGAGTGGGGGGGGGTCCATATTTGGCAGTGTCCTTTGAGTTCGGGGACCCCCCAAAATGATGGCGGTCCATTTGACGCCCCTTACAGAACACAAAAGAAAAGAGCCCTGAACAAAGACGCACCCGTAGTCTCATTTGAGACAAAATTCTAGGGGCAAAGCGCCGAATAGCATCAAATAGGAACAAAGAACGGCCATGCCTTGGGGGTTCAATGCCACACATATCCTAGTCAACTCAAAGAGTGTCAGGCGTCTACACCCAGCGCAGACAACAAAAAACCCTATTCCGTTCTGCGCATAATTTCTCCCCTGTGACACCAACACGACGTGAACAAGCGTAGGATAGGCCCAGGATTACCTCAATCATGACCGAATTCATCCTATCGATCTGGTGGCTGGAATCGTTGCAAATTGTAAAACAAGATGGACTCATTCTGTGAAAGAGCCCAGAACAGCCCAAAAGAAGTGCAGCATCTTTCTTGCTTTTGCAACATGGGCCTGTTAGCCAGCCAGCCACGCCCGCCCGCATTTGCGCCTTGGACAGCCCTGCTTTGGAGATGTCCAGCGCGGTGCAGTCGAGCCCTGCCGCATCGGTGTGCCGCTGGGCCCATTTGAGGCAGGCGAAAGCACTGAGGGATACAGGTTGTTGAACTGGACAGCTATCCCTCCAAGCAGTCTTGGTTGGGGTGGCAAGGTGGGTGTCGAACATGGGTTTTCCATTTCTGGCCGAGACCATCCAAATCGTGGTCCCTCCGTCGGGAGAAAAATTGGCACATTCGCACGCAGCGCGCGCGGGCCCCGGCCGCGACCCGCAAGGAAGACGGCGTTGCGGCCCTGCGCCAAGCGCGAAAGGGCAAAACCGGTCGAGCCGCTGGTAGCAAGGAGCCGCATCTAGAATCCTTCGTGTCAGGTTGGTGGAGTGTCAGAGTTTGGGAAGTGATAAGGGGAGCAACAGGTGTATGTCTACCAACAAAGACTGACAGGTGTTGTGCTTAGCGACCCACAGCTTCTCACAGACCAAGATGCCTCCAGCTCGGCACTGTCACCCTTGTGATATGGTCTTCAGCATGATAGAAAAGGGACGTCATCTTCATCCCGGAGATGCCACGACACATCGGGCGAACCTTGATGAGTCGCATGGAAACTCCTTGCCCAACTTGCCCCCCGGGGACACGGGACGAGTAACATGGTTGGATTTTGCGGGGCCATGGTCAACATGTGTTGATGTGAGGTTCCGGAAACAAGAAACCCGTGAGATGAACCCTGCGAAGTCTTGGCAAACTTGTTGGTTGTCTAAATTGGTCGAAAGGCGATTGCTCCGGGTCCCCAAAAAAGAAGGCTCATCAAAGGCATCCGCCCTGCCTCTCCCTCTCCCAGCAGCAACGCGCTGCCGGTGTCTGGCAACTGCCTTAGGTGCTGGGCGGAAAGCATCAGATAGATCTGCGCAAGTTCTAATGTTGACCCCGGACAAATAAAACCCCTGTTTATTAATATGGGGGTGTTCCCCTCCAAAAGTGGTCTGATTCCCACTAAAACCAGGGACACCATCATATTAATAAACAGGGGTTTATGAATCCGGGGTCAACATTAGAAGGGAAGCAGTTGGTTGGATGTGCCGATCCATGGATTGATATCTGGTGTGGATCTGCCCGCGCGGTCAAGCCATACTAAGAAACAGCAACCACGTCTGGGGCGCGATATCTTCAAGTGCAACCATAGGCTTCTCAAACGACAGACATGTAGATCGCGGTGTGCCTTCTTTTCAGGCGATCCCCAGGAATGTGGCCGTTCCAACTTGAAGCGACCGAGGAAAATGACTTGCAAGGAAGACGCTTTTGACCTGCGCGTCGAATGATCTTCGCGAAAAGGGCCCGAAACACCCTGTCCGCGACCCGGCCAGGCCGGCTATCCGGGGCCCGGTGAACAATGCCGCGCGCCGCGAAACAGACGAAACATCGCGTTTGGTTCCACAGCCAAAAGCCAAAGTTGCGCGTAGCTGGGACCAAGGGCGAATCCAAGCGCCCTCAACGAGATTGCCACGCGGCACGTAGAAAGTCAGCTCACCAGGTAGTCGACATCACCGTCGCGAAATTCTTGCACTGTACGCCGATTTAGCCTTCCTCGCCAAAAGCCACGAATGCAAAATGTAGATGTTTTGCTAGGTCCTCCAGTAGAGCGGTTAAAATAAGGGTATCATTTCTTTTTCTGTAGTCTATTTTAGTAGGGGAACGATCCCCACCAAAAGGCTCTACTGGGGGACCAAAAGGCTTGTCTCCTCAAATCGTGCATATGAGAAATCCTTGGGATTTCGGGGTTCCAAACAATGAGCGAACAAAGGAGAATGACAAGGAAGACTGAACTGATCCTTGTTGGTACAATTGGACAAACAAGGGTTGCCGGGACGTGCAGACAGCACTGCAATGTTGACCTGATATAGATACATGCCCAATGAACATATATATATATATATATATGCATATCATCTATGCATCACGACGTAAAATCGATCTGATTAAAAATAAACTTCAAAGTTCAATGCAACTCAAAGAGATCGACATAGTCATATTTAAGTATGTGTATACATATATATATATATATATATACATAAACACTCAACTCTCCCTTTATTGCACCAGCAAGCCGGACCTTGTTACATTTAAAATGTCCGGACAAGGAGCCCTCGCAGTGCCAAAACCGAAGCTGACCTGCTCCTCAAGCACGAATGAAGAACGAAAAAAAAAAAAAAGACTGAATCAAAACCAAAGCTTGTATTTGTTCATTTTAGAATGATAATAGTTGTTATACTGTTGGCTTTGCCAATAAACTCTTCATTTCTTGTACTTTCGCTGACTGCTATTGCTGTTCCCGCAAATTCAGGGCGGGCGGGCTGGGGGGCTTCACCCGATCCCAAAGAGGGTTGGCGACAAATTTCGGGCGGAGTCAGCAGCCACGGGAGCCGTGTGGCAGGTTTCCTTAGCGGTTGGCTTCATGTCGATTCCTTCTTGAAACCGTCAAAAACAATCCCGAGTTTTGACGCGCTCGCAGGTCAGCTGCAGGAGTCAAGAGATGCTAAACAACACACGTGCGAATCATGGAATGACCATCCTCTTCAAACACAGAAACACACCTATATAAATGCGCAAGTCTCCCCACTTGGAAGAGCCACTTCTGAGTTCTGCGCGTTGCCACCTCCCGCAAGAAATCGTTGGGCTCCTTGCACTGTTTGCACGCAAGGCCCATGCAAAACCACAGGAAAGGGGTAGAGTCAAAACAGAACGCAGACCCACATAGGGTGCGTTTGGTGTCACCGAATCCGGTCACCTTTCCGGTCTGGGCCGCCCGCCGTACCGTAGGCGTAGCCTTGCCTGAAAGGAGCAGCCAGAACCTCCAACAAAACAGCTCTCTCAAGGGTAGAATCTTTCAGCTTCCCTGTAAGGTGGGTGTTGTCAGCTGGGTGTGTTGCCGCTTTTTGGAGTTGGTACCCCTTTACTCAGGCACACCCCAAATGGTGGTTTGGAGCCCAGTGGTTTAGTGGTGAAATGGAGGGGTTTCCCATCTACCCTCGACAAGAACCAGGGTTCAAAAAAAACAAACCACCAATCCAAACCACCATCAGCGGCAACCTGAATCTTGGGCAAAACTTGTCAAAACAAAAAAGGATACCAACATAGGTGTGCCTTTTTCTTGAGGCTCGGGGCAATCCTGTGTTCCTAAGCCATAATGAAGCTTTAATGGGGGCTTACAGAACCCGTATAAAGACCAGGTAGCTCCACAGCCTTCTGATTCCATTGCCAACACTTGGATCTTGGTTCTGGGTTTCCACGTACTCTACGAGCGTCCGGCTGAAAGCAAACCTGCCAAGAGTTGGTCTCTTTTTTGGGGGGAACCCCCAAAATGGCCTCGGTTTTCCTGTTTCTTTCCTTTGAACACCAACCAAAACGGGGGCTACCAACCCCAAAATGGTTTCGGTGTTCCTCTTTGTTTCCTTTGAACAAACCAACCAAACAGGGCGCTACCAACCCCAAACTGGCTTCGGTGTTCCTGTTTGTTTCCTTTGAAAAACCAAGCCAAAGAGGTGTTTTCTCTGTCTGGCTCCTTTGAAAGCCCACCAAAACAGCGCTACCCTCCGCAAACCGAGGCACCCCACGACCCCCCACTCCTTCGCCAACCCCTCGCCAACCCCTCGCCAACCCCTCGCTGCTCCCGGCGAACGCTTCCAACCGGGCCCCCGGCTTGGAGTAGCGCCGGTCCCAGAGCTCCGCGGTCATCGGGCGCCGGGCGGCCGCCTCTCCACGGAATGTCGCGGCCGCGAGGTGGGCCAGTGGCTGCCTTCGGGTCCTGGAAAACATGTTTGTTTTAAGTTCCCTTAAAAAATGGGCGGCTCAAAAAATGGTCGTGTCCTAAGCAGGTACCCCCAATGAACATCCCAATCCAACCACTAAAATAGGTTCGAGAATGCCTACCCCAAAATGGAACCATTGGTTTTGACACACAACCATATGGCCGTGCCACTCAAAAATTGGTGCCCAAAATGCTCCCTTGGCAACTGGAGAAAAACAGTTTCCCTTAAACGGAAAACAGAACACAGATTATAGATTCCCTAAAGACCAGGGAAAAATGAAAAGATATTCCTAACTTGCTGGTGTGGTTGACTGGATGAAATTCCTGAAGGATAAGTTTTGGTTTTATCAACCCCCTTTGAGATTTAAGGGTAACTTAACCCCAGGGAAGGGTTTCCCGAGAAAAAATAAAAAACTGCTGCTCTGCAAGGAATGAGATGGAATGAACCGGAAGGGGGTTCTCGAACAAACGAAACCAAATGGAGGATGGTTTGTAGGGGTCATTCCCTCTTGCTGAGCACCAGCAAGGTTTGTCAAATTCTCAGACTCACCGGAGTTGGACAAGTTCTCTTTAAAGTGTTTCTCTTATTTCCATTGAATTGTTGTTGAAAGAAGCTCTAGCACGCCAAAAGCAGGAGACTCGGTGGTTTGATGACTGAGCCACAACCAAGCTAGCCATGCAGCCTGCATGGCAATCACCTAGGCGGGGGGTCTGAGCTCTGCCATCGCCCCTGCGTCAGAAGCCCAGTTGAACTGGCCCAAGTCATATCTTGCCTTTCAAATGGCCGCCTCATGCCGTGATTGAGTTGCTGAACTAGTTGCAAGCTATGGCACCCTTTTTTGCTTTGAAGGGAAACCCACCCTTTGGGAACGTCCCCTAAGTCAAACCACCCATGCGGTTCCCTTCCAAAAACAAGGCAGGCGGCTGTCTCGCCGCCGCGAAACTCTTGCAAATCTGAAAGTCACGTGTCTTGCAATTCCAAGCGGATTGTGTTCTTCTTTTTTCATGATGCCTGGGGTGGGTGTTTTGGACAAGTTTTTTGTGTTGCGTCTTGGCTTGGAAGCAAACTGTCTCCCTGTCAGTAATGTTAAAACCTGCACAGGCGCGCGCTTTTCAGCCTTTGCAGCTTTCTGCATTCGTCGACAATGCCTTTGTCTTTGGACTTTTTTCCCGAACGTACTTACAGCATCATTGCCGAGATGCCGATAGGGCTCCAGACTTGCAGCTCCGCAGCTTGACTGTGCGCGAGGAGGCCTCAAGGTCTGCGGAGTGGAGGGAGCAGCAGCCATGGGCGCGTCGAGAGTTGGTGGAGCTGCCGAGACTGCACAGCGCACTCGCAGAAAAAGTGTGTACTGAGCGGCCGAAAGGAAAACAAACCTGCAGGAGCGAGATGCAAGCTGATGGGCCAGCGCACGAAGCCACAGCAAGAGGCATGCGGACTCTGCTAGAGAAGGGGGAAGCGATCTTCAATACGCCTTGAAGAAACTGAACCAAAGGGTCCATAAAATCAGCAGGGGAGAGGCAATCAAAAAAAACGCCGAAACAGAGAAAAAACAAAACATATTATTATTGTTTTATTATTATTATAAAAAAAAACAACAAAAAAAACACCGCGTGAAGCGAACGCAAGCCGAGCCGGGGAAGCCCCAGGAAGGAAACAGCGCGATGGGCCGAACGCAACTCGAGAATAGGCGTGCGAACGAACTAAAGCCCCACCCCCCACCCCCCCATTCGTTAGAATTCCAGGCGTCAAGGCGTCAAGCGAACGTCAAGCGAACCTTTCTTTTTCCCCCTTTTCCCCCCCCCCCCCTCCCCCCCGAAATCACTCGAATGGCGGCGAACCAGCCGCTCTCCAAAATCAAGGTGTGCCAAAGTCTGGTTCGTTGCGTTTGGGCCCAAGTGGCCTCCGGCATGCTGATGAGGCTGGCCTCCGGCTTGCTGAGTCACGGTTCGCAGACATGGTTGGCTCCTATGGCTCCCATGGCAATCTGTTCCACCTTCAAGGGGATTCCCTTCATGTCACAGAAAGTGCCCTACAACTAGATTTGCCGAGAGACAACCATATCATATGTGCAATTGCTCACCCTGGTCTTCTTCTACAAGTTCACGGTACAGACGAACAGGCATGGGTTGAGGTCGCCCCAATGAGCCAAACCTCACCTATTTAGAAGCAAAGACGCCGGCAGAGTTGATGTTCGAACAGGCAAAGGGCCTGGGCCGATGCGTCCTGAGCCTGCTGTTTGGCTGCAGCCAAGGCACCGCAGAGTGGCAAAGGGAGGCTTTGTGTTGCTAGTGTTCATGCGCTAAAGGAGCCTGGTAAAACAAAACAGCCACCGGGCGGATCCAAGTTCATCCGGATTGAGAAACACAGTCTTCGGTTGTTGCTGGGTGCCAACATGATGAGGAAAATTGGCTTCCCTGCCAAGCACGGACGAGAACGCGTTATAAAGAAATAAGAAGAATAGGGCCTACACCCTGCCGCGATGGGAAGTCACATGCACACTGCCATTGCGCCACGGCCCCATGTGGGTATGGGTCAAAATTAAACCAGGGGACCGCAGGATTTCGTCCATGCTTCCATTTACCAGGGTTTCATTTTGGGTACCATTTTTTGACCCACAGCCATGTAGCAATTTAGCGTGTTTCTCAGAATCGCACAGTGAGGATTTATGGAGTTTGGGTTTTTTGAGGTTCCCTTGACCGCAAACCTCCTGCCAAACCCACAACCCCCCCCCCCCCCAAATCCCAATCCCCGCTAAGGTCTTCCTTTGCCTGAAAAGGGTCCATGCAACCCTTGGAACCGGGGGTTGCGTAATTCTCCGGCCTGCGCGAAGCATCAGCGCGGCCAAATGCGACACAGGCAGTGCAGTTTTCGTTGCCACTGGTGCGAACCTCTGCACGTTGCATATGGAGGGGTTCGCAAACTTACGTTTTGGGGTTGGTGTCAATCATTGGGTCAATCTGTTTTTCAAACACAAGGCGTTCAAAAACACGCATTGAACAATCAGCGAAAACATAAGATTGAACCTGCAATTGCAGGCGGAAAAGACAAATGACTCGAGATCCAACATGGGCCGCCTGTGAAAACTCCTGGCGACCCCTCTGAGAAAGGTGCGAAGATAGGTGTAATGCGGGATCAAAGCAGCTCTAGATCTGGCATGGTGTGAAGTAGTCCCCTTGAAGGATTCCTCACACCCGCCGCCCAATGTGTCCCTCTGTTGCCTAATGTTGCCTAGAGCCGAAACGTCCACGGCTCCAAACCAGGTCACACGAGCAAAAGACCGACTTGCCAACTAATTTGCCCCTTTAGCCCGGGGCCAAAAAAGCCTCTCTTTGAGCCAGGGATACTGCAATCCAGCTCGCGTCTAGCTCACTGTGCCCGATGCCAACAATCAGCAAGGAAACAAGTGGCCTCTCGTGAAGCCCACGCATCGGCCGCGGCATACTCAATCTGGGCCTGCACGTTGTCTAGACCATGGGAGTGGGTCAAAAATGGAGGCGCAATGTGCGATGTTCCTTTACCCTTGAATCGAAACAACCCCGAAGAAATGGGTGCCCTCAAGATACACTGAGATGATCTCAAATGCACTCTTCTCGTGCTCCCGCATCAGAGCCCAAATTGGAACGCCTCTGATCCGTGACCCAAAAGCCATGCCACAGGAAGCAGGGTCACATGGAGTGATCACAGAATATCCAGGAACCTCCAGCAAGTTGAGCCTCCCCCTGGGCACTGATTGAGCTATCGGATCAGGTCGAATCCACGAACTCCAAGACTCGCAGACAAGTTTGGGCCTGGCCCCTTGAGCAGTTTCCTCACTTTGATTTACTGGAAAAACTGGATTCCTTCGTGTCTTGACAAAAATATAGAACAGTTGGTCCCCCCAACTGTGGGCGTACAACCTCAATCCGTCCACATGGTTGATTTCTGATTCGCTCCCTTCGTGTCGAGCTCGGAATCGGACACCCCTTGAGCCTTGATCCCCTGCCTGTGTCCAGGGGCTCTGCTGCCAGTCCGACAACCGCTGCTCCTGGCAGGACGTGTGGTGGGAAGCCGACCATTTGACATGGTCTCTTGGCTAGTCCCAAAAAACATGGGCGGTGCCTCTACTTTCCCTTTTCCACCCAAAAACCGGTCCAAAAAGGACAAGCCGCCCATTTGGGGCTATCCCACACTTCGAGAAAAGGCTATCAGGTACGGTAGAGACTGTAGAGACTCTGCTTTGTGTGGACATGGTTCGCCTCTTGGCGCCTCAGACCGCCGAATTCTCGGGCAACTTGCTGGCGCCCCTGGCCCCTCAAATCAAAACCGCCGACAGCCACACCGCACAAAACAAAGGAACAGAAGCCAACCTGCGGACGTTCATCACCCGCTCGAAAAGACACACACCTAGAGATAGAGCCGGGTAAATGAATGGGCCACTCGGCGGGTTCACCGGCTCGCTTCCACGACCGGCCGAGCAACCGAGCAAGCGGCCGGCGGCCGGGCCTTGCTCAGCCGCTTCTGCAGGAAGATGGCGGCCAGGCCCTGCAGGGATCTCGGCCTCCAGTTGCCGAGGCCAAAGCTCGGGGCCCCGGGCCCCAAAGCCCACGGTCCAAGTAGCGATCCCTCTGCCCGCGTGCCCTCAACCATTCAACAGCTGTCCTTTGCTTGCAGGTGTTAAAGGGAAAGCATGGCGGAACCACCATGTTTGATGGTTTGTTGGGTTTTGTCTTTCCTGTGTCTTGCTTTTGAGATGTTTTTCTTTGGGGGGAGGGGTCCCCCAAAAAAAAACGACCGCCCCAAGTTGGAGATCAGCTTGTTGCACCCCGAAAGCGTCGAGTTCCAGCAGCCATTGAAGGGACCGCTTCAAACCTGACAGGTAGATGTGCGCTTCAAGGACATGTGCGCTACTTCCAGTAACTGGTTGACCTGGCTGTGGGTGAAAAATATGTAGCCAAAATGGCTTGCCCTGGAAAGTGGCAACATGGTTGCCAAAACCTGTGGCTTGCTGCTGGTGTGATTTTGACCCACACCCACCTCTTGAAAGAAGGGGCCTTGAAACTTGTCGGCCGCCGCCGGCGATCAAGCTAGCGGAAGCGAAGCCATGTCGAAGGCAAAACAACAACCAAAAATGTCGGAGATGTCACTGCAGTCACCGTTCATGGTGACGTTAGTTGGACCACCCACGAAACACTTTCAAAAGTCAAAACCCAAATCATTCGCCAGGCTCACTGCAACCCTGCACCGCTCAACTCACTTCATCTAAGGCTGTCGCGTGGTTCTCAGGTGCATGGCGATGTGATGCAGGTCTATGAAGGACTGACCAGAGCGATTGATTCAGTGCCCCAGTCAGTGGACACTGGGGTCCGGAAATCATTTCATCCAAGCTCTCACGCTATCAATCAAGGCACCTATGAAATGCCCTGCACACAACTGGACCCCTCAATGGGGACAAAGCTGAGCTGGGCGGCTAACAGAGCCGATGGCCCGGCCGATCAGATTGGAGCTCTCAAGCAATCGGATTGGAAGTCTCCCAATTCTTGGCGAAGAGCGGGATTTTTTTTCAAAAAATCGGTGTACCAAAACATGCTCAAGGCCGGGTCTTTTGGGCTACTCTGCGTCCACCTGAAAAATCTTTGGCTAGCTACCAGGTGGAAATCCAGTTCTTCTGGACCACCAAATCGCACCGTGAAGCTTGGCAAGCCTCAGAGTCCCCCCCCCCGCGCTTCCCGAAGCGTCCGAAGCGGAGAACGTCCTGCGGGCTGACTCCGAACTGCTCCTTCAAGGCGCTGACCTCGTTCACAGCACCTTGGGAGGCCTGCGAAGGCTCGCCCTCCGTGCGAAATAGAAATAGATTGGAGATCTGCTGCGAGAGATGCAGGGAATGAGAACTGGAATGACCCTGATAAACATTCTCTTTGGGCTTCCTTTAAGGGAATCCCTGGGTTCGTTCCCACTGAGCACCAGAAAGTTTGGTTGGCAGGGGCTGGCCGTGCTGAATAGTCAGCTTCCTTCCAATTGGTGGTTTGGAGCCCGGTGGTTCCCATTTATCCTCTACAAGAGCCAGGGGACCACCAATCCACACCACCAAAGGGTCACCTGAAATAGTGCCTGCCCCGAAGAGTCTGGGGTTCTGCCCAGTTGGTTCCCTTCAAAGTTCCGCCAAAAATCGGAGAGTGATTCATGATCATGACACATTCCCCGCGGTCGCCCGGGAACCGATTCAAAACGTCTCAGACGTCGCGGACTTCGCACGGGGGTCGCCTCCGCGCCTTGTGCACCGCCGGATCCTGGAAACCCCCGAAGGCTTCCCCAGAAACGCGTCCGGTTGCTGGGGCTTCGGGCGGTTCGCATCTCCCAATGGAATTGTCCAGCCCCTGGCCCCACCTAACCCGAAGCCTCCGAAACAGCGACGTGAGATGCCTCGCAAGAGCAGCCAAGAGCATGCCAAGAGCCCTAAGCCATGGGCTGATGTGAGCTGGAAAAAAACACGTATTAAAACTCTTATCCCAAGTTGTTTTCATTGCAAATCCAAGCGGCAGTCTTCATAAGCATGAGGTCCCCCAATAGCATGCCCCTTTAAGTGTATGAGGTCTCATGTGTATACACCGATGCAAATTTTCTGCTGACAAATTCACTCGGCAAAATTGCTGGGATCTGCAGAAAAAAGAGAATGCAAAATACAGAAATGGGCCACCACTCCTGCTCCAAGCAGTTTGGGGGCATCTGCGGGCTGCGCGCGACTTGCGCGGGATTTGCGCGGGACTTGTGCGAAAACTTGTTAATCTTTGGGCTATGGTGACGATGATGACGATGATGATGATGAATCACTGCGTCACTTGCGCTTCACTTGCGCTTTACTTGCGCAGCCCCATGTTTGACTTGCGCGGCCGCTCCTGCAACACACTCCTGCCCTTCAAATACAAGCGGCGGTACAGCTGATTTGATACGTCCAAAAACAACTGGGACCATGCCTTACATTGACACATACAACAGGTTTTCTTTTTCGGCTCATGTGGGCTCTAGAGTCTCAGCGTGGGAATTACACTTGTTAAACCGAAGTGGGCCAACCTCATATCTACTCTGTCACTTGAAAGGACATCCTCTTGGTATCACAGAAGGGCAAACCTAAGTTTTCCACAACGAGTCTCTCCACAATGAGTCTCAGGGTAGCCCCTCCGGCCACGCTCCTCGATGAGCTTGCTGAGCAGTGGAGGAAGCTTCCTCCACAGAAACGTGCCATGACTTTGCCCGGCGGCAGTGAGGGAAGGGCAACCAATCGGCCACACAACGTGAAACTCAGCCTACATTAGTTCTCAGCATATGTTTCACGTCTTCTTTCTCGCGCTTTCACGAATCAAGCATAGTCTCTTCCCGACAGTAGGGCTACAAGCTGGGCCACGTCTCAAAAGCCTCCAATTTACCATAAGATGGAAACCTGTGGTATTTCTACAATTTATTCATCCCCCTTCTTGACAAAGGGCTGGGAACACTGGCTTTGTGGATATTGAGCCTGACCTCCAACTAGGGGCACTTGCTCTGCCCCGCCAAATGAGTCCTGACAAAGACCTGGTACCAAAGGGGTCTACCCGACAACCCAAAGGGCGGTCGCGTCTATTTCTGGGGGGAAGCTTCGTGTCAAAATATGCTCGTGGCTCAAACAAGGAAGTCCAAATTCTTCTGCGCCCAACCTACCTCCCACGCCAAGAACAACAGCCCCCGCCTGGTCTCCCCCACCCGCCAGAGGCAAGCCACCTTCTGCCCCGCCAGCTGAATGACCGCCATCCTCGACTTCGGCTCGGTCAAAAGTCGGACCCTCCCAAAGTTGCAAAAACAAACAAACAAAAAAAGGCTGGCCTCGCTCCTGCCTCGCAACGCCCAAAAACTTGGAAAATGCACCAAAAAATTGGCCA